CGCAATAACCTTGCTTGACGCTTGAACAGCGCTAAAATAGAATGACACAAAAGTGGCAAGTTGGTTAGCTGTTTTTTCGTCCCCAGCGTTAAGAGCATACGGCAATTGGTCCATGATCACAACGTTGAGTAAGGAGATGTTGTCGTCCGTTTCCAAGGTACATGGTTTCCAAGAGTAGACTTTCACCATGTCCAAATATTTGATGGGTGAATTGGCGCAACGGTTGACACAGTTATCCAGGAAAGACCACACGGTTTCCATTCCAGCAGCCCCCAAAGTTTCTCTTGTACACCGCAAAGCTTGTAATAAATGTTTAAGTGCCACAGACTTCGTCACGACTTGACTTTCCACAGCAACATCCCCCAGGACAGCTTTAAGTTGACTAAGTGGTGCACCCTCCCGATCACCGCACAACAATTGTAAGAGTGCATTGAATGGTGAGGAAGCACACCCAGAACCAAGAGCCTCAAGTTTTGCAAACCATCTCATTCCAGGTGAGTAACTGGCTATCAAGACCAAGTTTTCTAGCTCCATTAAACCTAGGGCTCTGGGCTCTGCTTCGACGTTATCTCTGTTGAGGCCTGCCAGGATTCCCGCAAAAAAGGGAGACACATCAAAGTTAGCAGCCAGCGCGACTCGAGGGATGACTTCATAGTACAACCGCAGCAGGCGGCTTGTCAGTGTCCTGTGAAGAATGTTCTCCGCTGGAATGCTTTTGTAGCAACGAACAACCTCTTTCATGTCTGGTATCCGCTGACAAAACATGTCCACCAGCCGCCGACTTGCCTCCATCCACACTGCATTCCTTCGCCTTGATTGACCGTCAAGCATTTTGAGTGCTGCCGAAAGCTTTTCCAGTGCTGCAACAAGAATTCTTGTTGCAAAGAAAGACGTCAGGTGCGATTTTGGGGACAGGCAACGGATGAGTACTTTCTGATTGATCGGTCTAGGGATAATGTTGTCGAGAAGAACCGGAGTCGGAGGGGGCATGACTGCATATCGTGAAGGATCACCAAATGATGGAGGGAGTGGGATCATCATAGTATTGAATAAGAATGCTGCGTATCCAATCCATGTCATGGATAATTTGGGCTCGAAAGTGAAAGACTGGTTATTGTGGAAATAGTCCGAAATGAGCTCTGGTGCAGCCCCGAAGATAGCAACCAGGAGCTCGCAGTGCTTCAGGTTGGACCAAGGTCGAAGTTTACCGATGAATTCGGAGAGTACAAAGTTGTAAACAGGAACACTTTCTCGAAGCTTGCCTTCCCAAGGGTCGCCATTAGTCTCATTGTTTCTATTTTTTGCGGAAAGCGCCGAAAATTCGTCGTCAGCTTCTTTCGGATATAGGCCTTTATACGGATAGAGTATCCCGGCACTGTGGGTCGTACAGGCGTATGTTAAGAGTTGGTGCGCCTTTTCGCAGACAAGATCTTTTTCGTCGGCATTGGCAGTCGCGTGAGAATATGAGTAGAGTGACAGGATACGCATTAGAATCTTTGTGTTGAATGCTTTGAACTTGATCTCGCGCGCGATTCTGCTATCAGCCAACACATGCGCCTGCAAAGATTCCAATATCTCGATCACAAGATATGGAGGGTCATTCTTCATCATATATGTCAAGTGTGACAGTTGATCTCGTTGTGACAGCAACTCTCTTCGGCCTTCTGAGTGCAAGTATTTGAGGCAGCTCAAAAAGAAGCGCACGGCATTGGTTCTAACCGAAGCTTTTCGGACATCTTCCTGCATATCTCCCACATGACCAATTTCCAGATTCCGTCCCAGGGATGTAAAGGTGTAGATTCTGGCGCGCACGATTTTCTTTGCACAAGCTCCCCCGTCAAAGCTGACAGCTTCACGCAGCAGCCGTAGAGTGGGGGAAATGATGAATCCTTTCCCTTTTTCAGATCCAAGGTTCCTGGATAAACATTTGAGCTGTGCTTCCTGGACTAAGGTCTGACAGATGCCAAGTCCAAATGGCACAAGATGCAGAGATCCGGACAGCACCTGAAGGACAAGGGCGAGAACAACAGCGACGGAGGACATAACGCCCTCGTTGTTCACCTGAATGGAGAACGACCACATCTCCATGATATCGTGGAGGTGAATGGCTTCCTCGCTGGTGTCCCGCGGTTTGACGCTCTCCAGATATCCTTGCAAGATGGCGAGTTTCTGCTCTCGGTCGTCATTGCTAGAGATTATGTCGTCGAGAAGCCCCTTGAATGATTGAAGTCCTATTTAGGTCGAGAGAATCAGTAAAATACCCAGAAAAAGCCCACGCACCCGAAGGTAGAGAGGCACACACCGTGACGGGCATTGCGCATGTCCTGGTCAAAGGTCAAGAGCTGCCGGAGCTGTTCGCTCGACGTGACTTGCTCACCAGTTGGGATATCCTGAGTGAGCTTCTGGCGCTTGCGGAAAGCGGCAGCACCGTCCGCGCCATGGATCGATCGCTTGACCATTGCGACGGAATCGATTGACGGGCTCGCCGTCCGAATGGATGCGACGCTGGACATCCAAGTAAGGCACCTACATTAGAATTGCTATTCTTGAGAATTTGGAGTTCTGCCAGTCGTCACCGCCGCCCCGCCAGACGAGAATGGGTTAGTCTGGTGCATTTGAAGTTGCAATTCTCTTTATGTACATGAAAGGACTTCAATGTTGCCTCGTTTGATTGCGGCTAGTTAATTAGCTGTTCAGGCTAGACATAAAGGACAACTGTCACCCTTCCAAGCAAATATGCAGTCCCAAGGTTCCTAATCCAGTCATCATTTGTTCAATGCTTCTTAGAGAATATACAACCGGTTGACGGCTGATCAATCAGGTAACTTCTCTCGCCAAGATGGCAAGAGCTGCCTGAGTAAATGCTAGGCGGCAGGCACTGCCAAGTTTGCCCACATTTTCACTCCTCCAAAAACTATCGTCGATGTACCATGTGACTAGTTGTTGCAACAACATGTCACAATGCTGCTCGAAATTACAACAAACTGCGCATGGCATGGAACTGCGACTGCCTAGTTACCTGCCTCCACACACACTTGGTTGCTAGGCTACTACTACTCAACTAATGTACAAAAGTCGCCTGCTATATCTTCCGGCCTGCCCCCCACGGGCTGTGCAAAACACCTTCAATGGACAGAGGCGGCCCGAAGATGTGAGACAAGCATGAGAGGCTTTGCCCTTCACCACCATCTTCGCAGACCACCATAGGCTATCAAGGACGGTCAGCATGAACCTGTTGGTGGACCTCACAAGCATGAGTCCTGACTCAAACACGCCACTGATGCGATGCAAAGATCCAGCAACGTGACGACTTTTGCCATGTGCCATTAACGCTTCCAACGCCATTTTCTGCTTCCGTTACGACCGGAACCCACCTAGTACGAGGTGGTTGATGGATATTAGTCTTCAGCACCGCTTGGCCGTGCGTGGATCCCGTGTACAATTCCCTATGCTTGCTTAGGCACTTAATGGATTATTCTTAGCAACCAACAAACTCATACGTTGCCAGACATGAACACCTCCATTACAGATGCAGCGCCACTCGACAGATCGGCTGGGCCGTTTGGGCCAAGTGCAAGACTACTCAAAGTCCAAATCTCCGACATGTATCAAAACCGGAAGGGACAGGGGCTTTCTTTACAGCGGAATGACAAAGCGGATTCATATTTCCAATAGCTTTTGTCCATCGCGACACCACCACGTCGCCAGGTGGGAGGTTCCTAGGTGAGTGGGCGTGGCCAGGACGTAATTCCAATCGAAACACAGCTCTTCGTGCGGACATGAACACCGGAGCTCCTTGGCCAATGTCTGCAGACCACGAGACCCTCACGGGAGCAGCGCGTGGCAATGCGCCCACAGGCTTGTGAATACGGCGCAGCCATCAAAGGCAGATGCAAGTCATCAACTCGCTGTGCTCAACCGGCCGTCCCACGCTCTTTGTGGGTCTTTGAATCTCAGAGGGTGGTGCCAACCACCCGGACAGTTGTTCTAAGCGCCGACTGGATGGCCTTCATTCGAGCACAGCCTATCAAGTTGCGGCATCATGCACCGTCACGAATGAACTGCCATACCCAGCTGTTGTTGATGGAACAAGGAGTGTTTTTTTTTTTTTTTCGGTTTGTATTTTGGGCCACAATGCCTTGGGGCCCCGGCGTTGGGCCAAATGAGGCTCTCCTACGTTAATCGAAGGTCGCGGTGCCAGTCTGAAAAAGATGGCTCAGCCGTTTCCTCGCAGGTCGTCTTCTTGACTGAAGTTATTCTGTTTCTGTTCACGTCTTCGAGCATCCAACTCGCTGGTCGGTTGTCACTCGTCCTCTTGCTTTTCTTGTTTTCTTTGTTCACTATCTTCGCTTTTTTGCAATCCACGATATGCAAGGGCTGAGACAGCACCGTATATCTTACCTGTAGCATGAAAATATCGACTTGTACTGCTAGTGAGGTCACAGTATCGTGGTTCTCAGCTATTATTATGACTTGCTGGTCTTCCTTTGCATCTTGCTTCGAGCGAGAGCCATACTATAGTAAGTAAGCATCTCGCTTCTGGTCTACGCGTCTACCCATTTATTAGTCTCAATACATACCTACTTCAACTCCAAATCACGGTGTAGTTGAGATTCTGACAGGGGCTTTTCTTCTCAGGTAGTGACAAACGGCCTTCAATGATCGTTCACAACCAACCTTCGTTTCAACCTCGTCCAGTAGCTGTGACTGAGGCGGGATATCCGGGTGCTGAGTGGAAGCAACGACCTCCAAGGAAAAGCTTTGGATCAAGCAGGACAGGCTTCAATGGGAGGAATCGATTTTGGTCAGACGGGTCACCGCGCAGGCCGCTCATTTCTGCACCGTCTGATTTTCGACATTTACAGTCAGGTTCACTTCAGTTCCCCCCTGATGTACCCCCCTCCAATTGTCAACCAAGTCCCCGACAAGATCAATGCCATGAGGATGAATTTGCGGGGCATGAGAGCTGCTTTCGTCCACTCGAACTGAACATATACACGATGGACCGCCATATGTCACCTCTTCTGCCACATTTTGAGTTTCCCAGAATTACAACTCCTCCACCTCCACCAGCATACTGCGCAGAACGTTCTGAAGACCGTCTTCAATTGTCTCTTCAACGTAGTTACTCTTCTATATCGTTTCACGTTCCTCGAAGACATCCTGTTGACGCCTCTCTATCCGTCACTCCAGAAGAGCTTCCTCCGCAAATTCCGGCCAAGTCTAGATATCGAGTCCGAGCTTATACCGCTCCTGAGGTAGAAGCTATCAAGGAGCGCGTAGCAAGTGCCTTGATTGAAGTTGATATACTGCAAAAGCAAATCGACGACGTCATCGAAAGACAAAGCATCTGCGTCAACAGTCGTCCATCAACCGCGCATTCGATAGCCCGCGCACATGGTATGCCCTCCACCTTTTCATGTAGACATGCCTCTAGTTTCTTGGGCTGTCCAAAATCGGCGCCTTTATATTAACTAGCTGTAGACCTAGAACCTATGCCATCTATTCCGGCTCTGCCGCCGGCGGCCCCGTCATTTGCTGAGCGCCTGAATGCTGATGTAGAGCGACCTCAAACTGCACCAAGTAAGACGTCAGTCAACGCGACGCTGGGTCACAGGAAGACGACGCCTGAGGACAATTTTAGGGTTACCATGAAGCAGAACCAAGCCATGTGTGAGAGCCAGGTTCTGCCGCCGCCACTACCACTTGTCCTTCGACCGCCATTGCGGAAAAAGAAATCCTTTTCGCGTGTGTCCACCTGGCTCTTCCCCGGTCAGGACCAAGGCAAAACCGTAGGTTTTGATGCCGTTACGAACAAGCCGGGGCCGGTTAAGAACAAAGGAGGATTCTATCAAATTGTTTCTTCCGACAACACAGTAGGGCAACGAAGCTGCGAGTCGATTGATAGTATATCAACCTGGCAAACCAGGGATGAACAGCACACGACTCCATCATCGCGCCAAAGCACGCCGGCGTCAAAGCATGAAGAACACCCTGAAATAGCACGGAGAGGAACATTTGGCAAAAACGATGCCAGAATTGGAAAGCCGCCCGTTGGCGTCGTTGCATGGTGAGGCAGAGCCTCACTTTTTCACTTCATGGAGAATACCCTGAGGGAGTTGTATTTCAATGAATGATAACCGTTTTGTATGTACTTGGCGTTAGTATGGATCGACAGGGGATGTAAGTCGCGCACTGATGTTTTAGAAAATCATGAAACGCGTTGCGGCGGGTTTGAATGACTCTAGAGAACGAGGCATAAGGAGTCTGAGACTAAAGAGTAATAAATCTTAAATAATTATAAAGTAAATAAAGTCTTATAACTTTTAAGAGATATAATTATAAATAAGCTTAGAGTATATCTTATTATTATAAGGGAAAAAAATAATATTCTTAAAACCTTAAAATAAAGCTTTTATTAACTTATTAACTTATTAGAAAATTAAAAAAAACGGGCTAGATGGAGGGCATCTAGTAACACTGTATTTGGCCGTACCTAGGCAACTAACCACTCAAGACACCATGAACGCTCGCGATGCGTCAGACTCAGTAGCCGATTAGTGAAACTGAAAAAATCCACCGTGGAGCTAGCTAAAAAATGAGCACTGTGAGCTAGTTTATCCTTTTTGCGAAGGGAATAAAGCTTTTATAATAATAAGATTATAATAAATAAGCTTATAATTAAAAAGAATATAATTACGCTTATTAAAGGGTTTATATAAAAAAACACTTTACTTAATAAGTAAAGGTATAATTATTAAAGCATTATTAGTTACGGTTCCCTAGCCTAGGTGTAGTGGCACTGCAGCTAAAATACAGTGTTACTAGATGCCCTTTATCTTGCCCGTTTTTTTGTAAATTAATTAATAAAGGGATTAATTATATTATAATAATAAAAGTCTTTTTAATTATATAAAGCATAAGAGATATAATCGGAAAACTCTTCTCTTTATATAACGCTATAAATTCGCGATGTAAGTGTTAAGGACTAGCTATACTATACTACTATAAGTATACGTCTTTAAAAAGTAAGAATAAACTTAAGAAAAAAGAAAAAGAGAAAGAAAAGTTTCCCTTTTCTTATCTCTCTTTATATTTTTACTTAACTTATAAATTATTTAAGTTAAGTTTAAGTTACCTTTATATTAGATTTAACTTAAACTTAAGCTATTAGCTTAAGCTTATAATATACCCTCTCACTTACTTAAGCTCTCTTAGTATTTAATTAATAGCTATATAAGGTATATTATACTCTCTTTTTACCTCTTATATTTATTTATTTTTATTTCTTTATAAAGGTAAGGTAAGTTAAGTATAAAATAAATCTTTTATAATATCTTCTTTTTATTCTTTATAACCCTTTATTTTTACCTCTTTCTTAAAATAATTTTAAATTTTATTACACGTGTTTTCTTATAAAATTTATTTATTAAGCTTTTAAATTAATCCCTTTATTCTCGCGTTAATTTAAAAAAAGAAAAACGATAATATAATTAATATTATTAATACTCTTTTACCCCCTTTTACCCTACGCTTTAAGCGCTATTTAAGTAACTTTATTATAAAAGGTAACTTTAATAAAAATAAGATTTTTAATAGTAAAAAGCTTATTAAATCCAGACCTTTAAATGTATTGTATTTTTTGTATTTTTTACTATACTGTATTATATTATATTGTAATGTAATATATTACAATACATTACAAGATTAGAATACCTATAAATGTTTTTATTATAATTAAGCTAATATTACTTAAGCTTTTAATTAGCTTATTAATAATTAACGTTTTAATTATAAAGAATATATTATATAAATAGCTTATCTTAAAAGAGTAATTAAATCTATTAACTTATTCTTTATTAGCTATAATTAGTATTTTATTCGCGCCTTTAATATTATCTTATTAGAATTTCCTTTTATTCTTCTTAACTTTATTACTTATTATTAACCTCTTAAATAATCTCTTAATAATTTTAATAAGCTTATTTTAATTATGAATCTTTCTTTTATTAATTTTATTATACTTTTAATTACCTTTATTTCTTACTTTATTACGCCTTTACCTTTTATAACTTAATAGTTATTTACTTTTACTTCTTACTTAAATATACCTTTACCTCTTATAATTAAGTAATTAATTACGCTTATCTTAAAACTATAACGTTTCTTTAAGAGAATTATAATTAAAATTAATTATAAAAGTCCCTATTAAAGCTACTTACTCTTGTATCTCTTATAATAATAGTCATTATATATAAACTATATAACGTCTTAAAATATTTCTTTTTAGTAATAGTTCTATTAAAGTAACTTAAAGGTATTATTTTTTTTAAGGTAATTTACTATTAAAGAGTTATACACGTATTATATAAGTATTATTATAAGTAGCTTTTACTTTAAGGCTTAAGTATAGCCTTAAAATAATAGCGTTTTATATATAAAAAGAGTATAATTTATAATTTATTTTTATTTACTTTTATTAATACTACTTTAAGCTTTTAGTTTAATTTTAATTTACGCGCCTCTTATTAAAGGTTTACTTATTTATTAAGTATACTAATCTTATTAATTTATTTTATTTTAAGCTCTTTTTTATTTACTTAATTTAAGGCTAAAAACTCTAATAGCTTTCCTTCCCTCTTAATATTACTTTTATTTACTCTAATAAAAGTCCCTATTACTCCTTACTAATAGCTTACTTTATCTTATCTCTTAACTAATAAGAACCGCTCCCTATTAATACTATTAATATATTATAATTTAAACGCTACTTTACGTAAGCGTCTTATATTTAAACTAGCTGCGTATTATCTCTTTTAATCGCGCTAATTACCTGTTAA